CGTAACCTAACCTTATCCTTGAAGAAGGATAAGGCCTGAGGTAACGGCCTTTCATTCAGACACGGCTGGACGATGTGATAGCTATGAGGAATGACACCTTCCAGGATAGGCGTGGCAGTGAACATGATGCCAGAGGCTCAAAGGGAGTCCTATGAACCTGATTAGGACCAGGTTAAAGACCTACTGAGAGACAGGTTGATGGACATGCTGGTAAAAAGCCTGTCCAATCCCTTCAAAAACTGATGGATTATGGGGTCCACAAAGAGTCCCAACCTGGGACCCCACGTGAAAAAATGAAATAGCCACTAAGTGGACCCTAATTGATGAGAAGGAAAGTCCCTGAACCCTAAGACCCAGGAGATAAGACCTTTGGGACCTGAGTATCCATAGGGGAGAACCCCTTCTGAGTAGCCCAGATGGAAAAGCACTTCCATTCAGCTAGGTAAATGACCCTAGTGGAAGGTTTCCTACCCCCCAGCAGGACCTCCTGCACTTGCTCTGAGCACTGCAGCTCCACCCCGACAGCCATGGAGCTTCCAGGCCATTAGGTGCAGGGACTGCAAGTTTGGGTGGTGAAGTCTGTCAAAGTCCTGTGTTATCACATCTGGCTCCAGAGAAAGGGCAATCGGCCTCTCTATTAAGAGGTTCAGGAGAGATGTGAACCAGTGCTGCCTTGGCCATGCCAGCGCTATGAGGATGAGGGAAGCCCTGAACTCTCAAGCCCTCAGGAGTATCTCGCGTACCAGTGGGAACAGGAGAAACACGTACAGCAGACCCTTGGGCCAGAGGGTGAGGAGGGCATCTCCCAGCAACCCGCGTCAGGGTCCCATGAAGGAGCAGAACCTGGGACACTTCCCATTCTGGCAGGTTGCAAACAGGGAAAACCCCCACCTGCGGAAGATTTGGAGGGCTACATCCACCCTGAGAGACCACTCGTGGCTGGTAAAGGATCTGCTGAGCCAGTCTACCAGAGTATTCCAAGCCCCGGGGAGGTAGGAAGCAATTGGGTGAATACTCCACCCGATGCACAGATTCCAGACCTAGAGAGCTTCCAGACACAGGGGGAATATGCACCACCCTGCCTTTTTATAAGAGACCGCCATCATATTGTCGGACAGGATAAGGACCACCTTGCCCGAGATGACACAAGAATGCCTGGCGAATTGCCTGCAGCTCCCTAACATTGATATGTAGGGAGAATTCCTCCTGAGACAACATACCCTGAGTCCTCATGTCAGTGAAATGGGCTCCCCAACAGGTGTCAGACACGTCCGCACCAACCAAAGGGTAAAAAGAGGCCTGGAGAATGGAACCCTGGCACAGACCATGTCCTCCTGGATCCACCAGATCAAGTGCGCTTCCTGACTATCAGGAACACAATCCTGGCCCTGCAGACGTCTCCCATGACCATGGCCAGAAACCGCATACATCTCCTGGGGCTCACGGACGCCTGTACCTATGTAGTGCAACATGCCAGGCTTTGCCTACAGCCCCTGCACTTGTGGTTGACCTGGGTCCACAAGCTGTCCTTTCACCCCAGGACAGGGTGCTGATGCTCCCTCCCGACATCCTTTACTCCCTGGACTGGTGGCTGGGACTGCTTCGCTGACTGGACAGACTGGGGCTGCCAAGACTGCTGCTGAGGCTGCGCGGAAGGGCTCCGGTGACAGGATTACGACTGGTGCAGAGACCTAGACCTGGAAGCCTGCAACAAGACAACAGACTTGGCCTCTGAATCAGTACAGTACTCCGATGAGAGCAGTGCCGTGGCAGTGGCACTCAGCACCTGCGACTAGGAGCATGCCTAGCCATGGACTCGTGCATACCGCAGTGCTCAGGAGGAGATGGCAGCATAGCAAGGTCCAGAGGCTGGCCTGATGATAGAAGCCACGTGGCATGCCTGGCCTGAGCTGACACTGGTTCTGTAGCAGAGAAATTGGTGCTGGTGCTAGGGCAGCCATTGGTGCCAGAGCCACCGAAAAAGGCAGTGCTAGTGTCAAGGTTACTGGCATTGGGGCAGACCTGTGGTGCCCATTCAGGGATGGTGCTGAGGCACTTGGTGCCATAGCATTGGCACGGTGCCACTGAGTCATGCTCCCTCTTTGGGGCTGATGCTGAGACAGGGGACAAAGAGCTTGATAAGGTCCCTTGCGGCCTCAAAGGTGTCCAGAATCAACAGCTCCAGGAGATGTTCTGCCAGGCTGGGGTCCTGGTGCAGGCTGGAATGAAGCCAACCTGACCTCCAAGGTCTGGGTACCAAGCCTGTTGGTGCCCCATGGCCCTCCTGAGAGCAAACTGTCGGCATGTGCCACAACGAAGACCTGCTTCTACTCAGTTTCCATTTCTTCTGTGGTACTGGAGATTGAGATTGGTGTCACCACTTTCTTGGCACTGGAGAGGCCTGCAAATGGCCAGGTGCCTCGTACACTGAAGCTGGTGTGCTCTGGGTAGCCAGTGTTGGGTCCAACACCGGTGCTGGATGGAGAGCTGCCTCTATCAGGAGAATCTTCAGATGAGACTCACGCTACTGCTTGGTATGCAGCTTGAACCCTCTGCAAATCTTGCAGAATTTGGAAAGGTGAGCCTCCCCAAGGCACTTTAAAGCAGGCTTCATGGGGATCCCCACAGGGCATAGGCCTCAAACTTCTGACTCAGGGCCTGAAGACTTGGGGCCTAGTTATGCCCCGCAGCAGGAGCTGGGATACAAAGCGAGTCCCTGTGCCAAAGTAAACTACTTACACTAAGAACTATTTACAGAAAATAACAAAACAATTAATAGGAACACTAACTAATCTACAAAAATCCAAGTAGGTGAGAACTGCTAGGAGGTGCTTGCAGAGCAAGAGCAGAGCACGTTCCAAGGACCGCTATGAGCAGTAAGAAGTGAGTGAAGGGGTGGTGGGCCAGCAGGGGTATATATTATCCAATATAGTGGTGCCACTCCAGGGGCTCCCCTCCAGTTCAACGGATAATGTGCTAAAGGAAAAACCACCTACGTAGAATGGACACGAGAAATCAAAGAGGAAAAACTGTTTATTTAAGCACACCAGTACTGCTCTCTTCCTCCAGCCATAAAGATTTTTTCCTTAAGGTCAGCTAGTAATCTCTTCAGGGTTTCCCTTCAAGCATTTCTTCCCAGTAATTTGTCCAATGTTCGTTTCCTCAGTTTAACTATGCTTTCCAGGATCTTTATCACATCTTGTGTCGGGTCACGTCATTGATTAGCACAGACTTGGCTAAAAATTCTGTATTTACAGATAAACCAGGTCCAAGTAAAATAGCCCAGTCTATAGAAATCGTTTTTAATATAAGTATATTTCTAAAAAAAAAAGTTTAGCCAATGGGTGCAACTCTTCAATACAGACACTCAAATCTATTTAAAAGTGCTTTATAGCGATTTAGCTTAATTTGGTAACAGTTATGTGCCATTTACAGCCATCCTTTTCCTCTCCTTTACCTGTGAACTGGGCACAACAGACATCTCCCACAGCTGGACAGAAATCTGGGATAATAGGGATTGTGTTACAGTATTCACCCATGGATACTTGAAGCTCAGCAAGCTGTCCTGTTGACAAATGTTTTTTGTAAGATACTTATTAACAAGACTTAAAGTAAGCATTACATGAAACCCTTTAACTCAATGGGTTAAATTAAGATTTATCTACTATATATATATAAAAAAAATCAGTGCTAAGTTTCTTTGCATGTCAAGAGAAGGATTTTCCAAAAGCTTGAAATAAGAGCAGTTTTCTATAATCAATAGTATTTCTCTAAAAGCGACGAGGAGTCCTGTGGAACCTTATGGATTAACAGATTTATTGGAGCATAAGCTTTCATGGGCAAAGACCCACTTTGTCAGATGAATGTAGTGGAAATTCCAGTTGCAGGTATAAATATACGGGCATAAGAAAAGAGTACCAATCAAGAGTAAGGGTAGAGATAACAAGGTCATTTCAGTCAGGGAGGATGAGGCCCACTTCTAGCAGTATTTCTCTAGTGACCAAAATCAACTTTTTCTCTGTGTAATAGGATGAGACAAGTCTCACTGCTGGAAGAGACTTGTCAAAACTTGTGATAGCAGAGGCACATCAGCTCTGTAAAAATCTAATTCAATGACAGGCTTCATCAATGTACAGTTAGTGGCTGGTTTGTAATGATGCCTTTTCAAGACATTCCAGGAGTTCATAAAATTCAAACCTCTGAAAACCAAGGAATAAGGAGTCACAACTCTAACTGACCCCTTGAGGGGCAATGGTCACAGGGAATTATCAACATGCACGTCTGCTGCATTCACTGTGCCAGGGACAGCATGATCAAAGGAAAGAGGTGCATATGGACCTGGAGTGTTCCGGTATGCCACATTTCAGAATGAGTTCTATAGGGGTGTTAGTAGCAGTACAAAGGTCTCTTACTGCTTCCAATCCTGGTGCAAGAAGATAGAGTACAAGTAGCCTGTGGGTTTAATGATGACTAAGTGTTATACGCAGTCCTATGACTAATGATGAAGGGATTGTAAAATTTAGGAGGTGCGTGCTGTTTCTGTGGAGTTAACTATGTTGAGTGAAGGTCAGATGCAAGTAGATTCTGTTGCATACAGCTCACCTCACCATATGTTTTGTCTAAAGAGGCAGTGTTAGACTGTCCAACAGTGATCACCTATCCTATTCTCTAAATTCATCTCTATCTGCAGTAGCGAAGTGAGAAGGAAGTTACTCACCCTGTGCAGTAATGACTGTATCCCCATGGGTCATTGTTGGTGACGGTCATTCACAGAACTGCAGTTTGGAGCTTTTTCTTAGCAGTTGTCAGTCAGGCCGTGAATGCGCAGAAGGCGCCTCACATCTAGGTGCTTTGATGCCTTGCACACCTGGAGCTCGCCCCTCCCCCAGTTCCTTGTCTACACTTGAGTAACTAAGACTTCAAATAGAGGGGAAGGAGAGAGGGTCGTGGAGCGCACACAGGGAGACACACCTCAAAGAATAGTCATTACAGAACAGGGTGAATAACTTTTTTTTCTTCTTTGGGATATGTCCACGAGGGTGCTCCAGTGTTGGTGACTACAAAACAGTACTTGATGTGAATGGTGGAACTTTGAGTTACTGCTTAGTGACAGAGGATAGTACCGCTGAAGTCCACTGCAATATCAGTTGCTAGCTGAAGCATGATAGCATAATGTCTGGAGAAGGTATGGTCGGATGACCAAATGAGTGCTTTAAGGAGCACACTGTTTAGGAAAGCCATAGATCCTGCTGTGGCACAAGTGGAGTGTGCTCTTGGTGGAGCAGTCAATAGCTTATTGCGATGAAAGCAGCATTGCAGTATACTTGATATCAGTCTGGAAATACGCTGTGTTGCAATTGGTGTGCCGTTGGAGTGGTTTGCAATGGACACAAAGAGGCATAGGGACTTGTGGAATACGTGTGTCTTGTCTATATAAAATATCAGAGCCCATCGAATGTCCAAGCGCAAAGCATGGCATTTCTGGGGGATTCATGGAGCTTTGGTAAAAATGTAGGTAGGACTATGGGATCATTGATATGAAAGCAGGTACTGTCTTTGGGTAGAAATGATGAAAGCGATTTTAAAGTCACTTTGTCCTTGGCAAATACGGTGTAAGGCAAGCCTGCCATCAAGGCCCCTATCTCTCTAACCCTCCTTGCCGCGATTGACAACCACTAAAAATAGCACCTTCATTGTAAAGAGTGGGAGCAGTAGGCAGCCATGGCTTCAAGGGGAGGGGCACCTCATAAGGCAATCTAAAGCTAGGTTTAGGTCCAATGAGGGCACTGGGGCCCTGTGAGAATGGAGGTTCTGGAGACCTTTGAGTGATAGGATGTGCAAAAACAGTGATCCATTGATCTATTCATGGAAGGCCATAATTGCTGCCAGGTGCACCTTAATGGAGAAGATGGATAGGCCCTCACTCTTCAAGTGATATATGTAGTCAAGGACAGAATGAAATGGAGCCTTATGGGGATCAACGTGCATTTGCTAGCACCAGGATGCAAATCGTTTCCATTTCTGAAGGTAAGTGGTTCTGGTGGATAGTCTCCTACTATGAAGGAGGACGGCTCTTTTTGATCAGAATAGGATTCAGCACCATGGAACCTGACAGAAACCATGCATGGAGGTGGAGAGTATGAGGTTAAGGGTGAAGTAATTTGACCCTGTTCTGGGAGATGAGATTGTGTCGACATGGAAGTTGATAAGGTGGTTCGACAGACATGTGTTGAAGATATGGGAACCAGGCCTGTCTAGACCAAAATGGAACTGTTAAGATAACTCGAGCCCTGTCCAATTAGATTTTATGCAGGATCCTGGGGACGGGGAGAAAAGCGTATTGCAGGTTTGTTCCAGGGATTAGGAATGCATCACCCATGGATCCCTCACCCAATCTCACTAGACAGCAAAAGCAAAGACACTTGGTATTATTCATTGTTGCGAAGAAATCTATAAATGGGTAGCCCCACCTGTGGAAGATGGATTGTGTCACCATTGGATGCTGCTCCCACTCGTGGCCTGTGGAAAAGTTGCAGCTCAGAGTATCTAACATGACGCTGTTGACTCCAGTAGATATGATGCTTTTAAGGTGATGCCATAATTGATGCACCAATTCCAGAGACAGATGGCACCCGCAAAAAGGTTCTTTATCCCTTTTTGCGGGACACTACTGGCAGGACCTTCGAGAAGACATGAGGGGCAGAGAATAGGTTAAAGGGGAGGACTCTGTATTGAAAACGATCCTCCCCTATGGTGAAGCAGAGGTAATGTCTGTGGAATGGATGTATCACAATGTGGAAGAAAGTATCTTGTAGGTCGAAGGCTGAAAACCAGTCCCCGCGGACCAGTGCAAGAATAACTGAAACCAATGTAATCATTATGAAGCATTGCTTCCATAGGAACTTGTTTAGTTTGCAGAGATCTAAAATTGGTCTCTAGCTCCCTGTGCGCTTTTGGGTCAGGAAGCAAGTAAACTCTCTTCCCTGGAACAATTTGGGGATCCTCTCTATTGCTCCTAGCTGGAGGAGCCAATCCATTTCCTTCCTGAGAGGGATCTCTTGAGGGGGTCCCTGAGACGGAAAGGGGGAAAGGTAGGAGGCAGAAAGGTAAAGGGGATCGTGTACCTTGTATGGATGATTTCTAGCATCCACAGGTCCAATGTTGTGGAGTTCCAATAGTAGAAGAAGGGATGTAGCCTGTGCGTGAACAGGTGTTTCTGGCTTGTCAGCACTGGATGGTAGGGGAAGTCAGGCAGCCCCTCGACCAAAACTTCAAATTTGCTGTTTGGAAGCCTGGCTCTGGAGGACCATGATTGAGGTAGATGCTTCTTCTGAGGCCACTGTCTGGATTGATTGTAATCATAAGGTTTGTGTTGAGGACAGTTGTAATAGCAGCCCTTATTTCTGTTGTATGGGGTGTAGCAATTTTGCCAGTATGGTAGCGTGTACATGCCTAGCGTGTGGAGAGTTGTTCAAGAGTCTGCAGCTCTGGGGATGATCTGTCACCAAAAGTGGCGCACACACGGGGACATCAGCCAAAGAAGAATGAATTATATGGATCTTATTGAGACATTTCTCAAAGTGATCCAAGTTAAGGTTGTGTATCTTAGTTCTATTTCCTGGTTTTCGGAGGCCTGAGTTCTGCTTGAAATCCAGGCCAAGCCTTCCCCTTCCCTGCAGGTACATAAGGTTTGTATTTCCTACTTTTTAGAAATGTAAATATAAATTACTTTCAGCCCTCCCCCTCACTCCTGCAGCTCACATGGGAAAATCTTAAGATTCAAACTTACTGTGTCTTGGCATAGCTCAGGTTTGGACAGCCACAGCATGTCCTCCTTGATCTACCATGGTTTGTGTGAATCTTGGTTGTGTAGAAACAGTTTTCCATAATCTTTCTGAATATGCACATTGTAATGTGATGTGTGAGTGGTTAGCATGTATCATTCTAGAGAACAACATATATCCTTTAATAAAGTTTTCAATACTGCTTCCTCAAAGGAGCTAGGGTTGCCCCACACAAGCTGTGCTAAAATGTCAAGCAACGGATTAGGAGGTGGATGATCCTGGTCTCAGATGTGTGCGTAAAAATTTGATAGTCTGTGGACTACACAAAGTGATGGAGAAAGAGGTCATCTCAGTAACCATTTGCTCACATGACCCAAATTTAGTCACTAACCCTACTTCAAACTACTATGAAGCACAACATACTTCAAGACAGTCTAAGTACACAGAATTTTGGAGGGCTACAATTCAACCTTAACTAAAGCAGATCTTGTGCTCCATTACAATAATACATTGCAGATTTGTTCTACAAAATCTTTTACCTAGACTCTAGATGAGAAAATGGAAGACTACATTCTGCAGATACCTTTAAAGAGATTCAAGGACTCCTTATGACTTTCTTATGGTTTGCCATATCTGAAACAAAAGGCAAGCACATTTTCCCTCCATCAAGGTAACCACTGGTCTCAAAAAACAAAAAAATCCCACACAACCAGATAACTTTCTTTTGCTATGGTAGATCACAGGATAGAGCTCCTTATTCTTAGGGTTCAACAACTGGGCTATCAGAAATCTTCACCATAGGCAGAAACCAGGAGGACTGAACTTCTTATGGAATACAGTTTAGGAAAGCTCCATCATGAGGATCTCCATCAACTCTTCTGGACAATGAGATCACTATCCAGACAACTCCTGCAGAGAGGATAAAGAGTTGGCTGCCAATGGCTCAAAGGGTGGGATGGAGATACAAGTAAGCAAAGTATCCTGGACAACTCAAAGAGAGACTTGTTAATGGGCATTGCTATTTTGTTCAATATTGTTGGTGGTGAACACCCAGTCAGATCACCAATACTATGGACTTTAAGATCTCCATTTGGACTCTCTCCCTTCTAATGGACTTGTTTAGGTATTTAATCCAACAATGTTCTGTCGTCCCTGAAATTCTTGAGTACAAAACCAAGACTGAGCAGTGGTGAGCGAACATCTCCATCTCATTATCATATTTTGTCTTGTCTGTGGATTTAAATATACTGGAGAATGGAGAAAATGATGATTTGGACTCTTTGAAAATACTATGACATTCCCACATCAAAACACATCCAGGACCCATCAGTTGATACGGAGAAAAGTCACTGGTCCTTACATTTTAATTATCTCTCCCTAGTTGTCACCTGTTGGAATTCTTCAGAGTTAACCAGACAGTGATTTTAAGTGCTGGAATTTTCATTGCAGGAATACTGATATCTACCCTTTCCAGACTTACATTTGCTGTAATCTCGCCTTCCATTCTTTCAGCCACTAAGAAAATGAGATGTATACCCTGTAATAAGGTCAGCTATACCTATTCCCACATTTGGAGTACAGATGGTTCTGTAATATCTTTTAGGATTTGTCTAAGGATTCTGGCATCACTGACTCCAACAGCTCTCCAAATAAGCCACCTCCGGAATATGTGGAAGACAGTAACATGATCCTGGCTTGTATATGGCCTTTTCAGGCTCATAACCAGGGATGTCATAGAATACTAGAACTGGAAGGGACTTTAAGAGGCCATCAAGTCCGCTCCCCTACATTCATGGCAGGATCAAGCACTATCCACATCATCCAAGACAAATGTTTGTGTAACCAGCTCTTTACATCTTCAGTGATGTAGATTCCATAATCTCTCTAGGCAATTTATTCCAGTGCTTAATCACCATGACAGTTAGGAAGTTTTTCCTGATGTCCAACCTAAACCTCCCATGCTGCAGTTAAAGCCCATCACTTCTTGTCCAATCATCAGAGGTTAAAGAAAATAATGTCTCCGTTCCTCCTTGTAACAGCTTTTAGATACTTGAAAGCTGTTATATTCCCTCAGTCCTCTCTTTCCCAAACAAAAACTTAATTTTTTTCAGGCTTCCCTCATAGGGCACATTTTCTAGACCTTTAATCCTTCTCGTTGCTTTTCTCTGGAACTTCTGCAATTTCTCCACGTCTTTCCTGAAATGTGGTTCCCAGAATTGGACACAATACTCCATTTGAGTCTAATCAGTGCAGAATAGAGCAGAAGAATTATGTCTCATGTCTTGCTTACAGAATTCCTATTAATGCATTCCAGAATGATGTTTGCTTTTTTCGCACCAGTATTACACTGTTGATTCACATTTAGTTTGTGGTCCATGACGACCCTGGATCCCTTTCTGCAGTACTTCTTCCTTGACAGTCACTCCCTATTTTGTATGTGTGAAAGAGGAGGTTACTCACCTGTGCAGATGAGTATCCTGTGGGTGCTCCATTCAGGACAAGGTGCGTCCCTGTGCCATTGATTGATTTTCTCAGCAGTACCCCTTCCCAGACTGTGCACACACAGTGCCTGTTTCCCAAGCTGTCAGTGTATAAATACCATGCAAAAGGTCTGGGCTCCTCAGTTCCTTCTCTACAATGGACTAATGTCAGATCCGAAGTAGAGGAGAGGAGGGCAGGTAGAGGAGCACCCAGATGGACACTAAAGAACATCATTACTGCACAAGTGAGTAGCCTCCTCTTCTCCTTCAAGAGATGTTACTGTGGGTACTCCTCAGTGACTGTAAGCAGTGCCCCTTAGGATGGTAGGGGCTTTGGATCAGGCCATATGGCTGCAGCCAAAATAGCTCTGCCCAGTCTAGTGTCAGCTGCAATGTTCTGTAGAAGGTGGTAGGGTTGGACGTGCATGAGATCGTGTAGCCATGGAGACAAAGAGCTTCAGCATCTTTCGGAATTGTTTAGTTCAATTTAGACAGAATGATAATGCCCTACATATGTCTAGTGTATGCATAGCGGACTCAAAATAATTGGCATGTGGTTTCAGGAAGAATGTTGGTAAGTGAATGGGTTCGTTTAGATGGAAGGAGGAATGTACTTAGAGTAGAAATTTAGGGTGCATGCAAAACATGGCTTAATCTCAAAAGAAGGTGGTACAGTAAAACTCCATTGGTCCGGCATCTGATGGTCCGGCACTCCTGATGGTCCAGCACCATCAGGAACCCAGAAGTGCTCCAGGCAGCCGGACCATTGGAGCTGCTCTGTCCCTGGCTTCCCCGATTCA